AAAAACACAAAAATGACCAGAATTACTGGTCAGAAAGAGACTGGTAAAATCCCCAAGACTAGGGCTTCAGGTTACCCTTCGGGCCTAGAAATGGACTCACTTCCATGGACTCGCTCTCAGCCCAACAGCAGAAAGACCTACAGACAGAACACCTACCCCGGGTTGATGCACACACCTACTCTAGGGAGATGCACCCCTTGGATCAAGCAGCCACGGGACACCAGAGGGGTAGCACTTACACAGAAGGAAGGCTGGACAGACAGGAATGCCTAAGACGGGCACAGGCAGGGGGCGGTCACAGGGCTGGGAGGGGAGGAGAGTTTTTTATGGCTGGGGATGGTAACCGGGCATGGGAAATCAAATGTGCGTGAACTGTTGAATGAAAAACAAGTTTGCTATGTAAATGTGCATCCAAAGCACAATGAAAGATAATTTTAAAAATAAACAACAGGCTACTTAATAAAAACCATTTTGGGGAGAGGGAAAAAAAAACATGCACGCAGGCGCACACGCGCACACACACACACGAGAAATGGTTGAGAAGGTAGATACCACACTCTGAAGAGCTGAAATCTCTTAACAGATTTTCATTTGCTTTCTTAGACCTGTTCTCTGCCTGAAGTTTGGTAATGAACACATACTATTTTTGTTATCAGAAAAGACAGACACACCCAGAAAAGCTGTTTTCATTTAGGAAAGAAAAGAACATCCCCACGGGGCCAAAAGACAGGGGGAAACCGCAAAGGGAGCGGGGTCAGGGGGCTGCTGGCAGAGAAAAGGAGGGCTGAGGTGGGGGAGGCAGGAGGTGGAGGGGCAGACGTGGGCCAGGGGAGGAGGGGCGGCAGGAGAAAGGGGGCGGGGGGCACTCCCGGGTTGTGGGGCCAGTTTGTGGCAGAGAACAGGGTTCTCTCAGGCCTCCCCCTCCATTCTCCCCATACCCCCATTTTTCATGGACCCTGTGTCCCCCACCCCCAGCCATGCACACTCTAGCACTGCCCCATGTCCTCTGGGGTCCCTGCACTGCCTGCGGACAGGCCCTTGGGTAGGTGCACATCTGGGCTGTCAGAGGTGGCTGTTGAGAGGGATGGGCTGGAAGGGACCAGGACTGTAGTCACAACTGGGCCGGGGGAGAGTGGAGAACAGGGCAGACCTCCCCACTCCTCTGGACCAGAGTTTTAGTCACCCCCGAGTAGACACTACATAAAACACAGGACACCCACTTAAATCCAACTTTCAGATGAACGCCAAATCATCCTGAAGCTTAAGTGTATCCCCACTAGCACGTGGGCTAGACTGACACTAAAAAAAGAACGTGTGCCCTGAAACCCTAATCAGACCGATGGCCTGCATTTTTATTACTAAGTCAGCCCCCCTGGCCCCTGAGCTGCTTTAGGGGCCAGGGATGTCACTGACTGATCAGCCCATCTCACTCTGAACCTGTTTCTCCAGCTACAAAATGGACGTGACCCCAACCACCCCAGGCTGGTGGGCGTTTCAAAGAGAAGGTGATCATTTAACAGCTCGCAGGTGGTGGCGGGCCTGGCCTGTGCAGAGGGGTCGTGCCGTTCAGTCCTCGGGAGAACCTGTGAGTCAAGGCAGGTGTCACCCCCATGTTAAAGAGGAAACTGAGGCACTGAGAGGCAAAGCAGTCTGACCGGTTATTTTCTCTCTCTCCTCTGGGGGGTGGAGGAAAAGGAGGACGCTGGGGGTCCTGAATGTCACAGCAGAGGACGAGCAGTCATGATGTCCACACTGACAGCAGCGTGGAGCCCTGCCCCGTACCCGTCCCGTCTTCACAAGCACCCGGGGGGCGGACAATCACTTTTAACCTTGTCCAGAGGCAACCACGTGGCCCAGGTCATGCACGCATGGCAGAGATGGACTCTTACTGTGGTTCTCCCCCCAACAGGGGCGAACAGGGGTCTGGGGCACTGATTAACGAGCTTCC